CATGCCTCTCCTGATGGGACAGGTAGATGTAATCAGGGAGAGGCTGTCCTTCAGATAACCAGACCCCATGCCACTGATATAATCCCGTGCATATTTATGTTCCTATTTTATTATTATTATCAGATCTTTTTTTATTCTACTGGGATGTGCTGTGAAATTATGTCCTCCAAGCATTGATGGATAATAACCTCCTTCACTCCTTCAAGGATATATCTCAGAATGATAAGAATTATCCAAGAACCTCTGAATTACTACAGATTCTTTTCCATCCTTTCCAATAAAAACATTGACTCTTCTGTATCACTAAGTTGGGACACTATATATCTTTCTTTTCTTTATCTATTTTCCATATTAAGTCTGATTACATAAATCTATTGCATTGATCAAACTTAGTACCACAGTTTTGATTCTGCTCCGATTTTTGTAGCATGTGTCTTATTTGACCTTTTTTGGCATTCTTTTTATGAATTCTTTATGTGTATTTCTAGACTGAATTTGGAGGAGGAATTGGATCAGATGAAAGTACATGCCTCTAGAGATAAAACTACAATACAAGAGTTGAATGTGTGTCTACAGGAAGAAAGAGAAGGTAAGTTTGATTTAGACAATCTACAAGTAATCCTCGTTTAATGTACTCAATGTACAGTTCAGCAACTGTTTGAAATTATAACAGGACCAAATAAGGGGTACTTAAAACAGGTCCTTGTAACTGACCCTTGCAGCATCCCTGTGGTCAAGTAATCACTATTGAAGCAACCAATTCATAATTACCATAGTTGCAGCATCCTCAACCATGTGATTGTCATTAGTGATCTTCACTGCAGTTTCCAATAAGCAAAGTCAATGGAGAAGCCAGCAGGAAGTCACCAATGGTGACCGTTGGGTGCTATGAATATGCAATTTTTGCCTAATGATGGCAACTGGGACTGCTGGAACTGTTGTCGTAAATTGGTGCAGTCATATGACTTCACATCTCATGACCAACTTGCTTAGTGACAGAGTTCCTGGTCCCGGTTATTATTGGCGAATAGTACTTGTACACTTTGAGCTAAGTCTGTAGGTGCTATTCATATATAATTATTATAAAGTCTATAATCCAAATTATGAACACAACAGTTATTTTATAGTTCACATTCATGGTTTCTTTACTTTTTGTAATGATAACACATTTTGATTCCTTCAGACTCACGAAGAAACAATATTCTTCAGAACCTCTTTCACTTTCATAAGTGATTCATTATTCTGGTTATTATATAGCACTTAGCATTTAGACTTATATACTGCTTTATAGTGCTTTACAGCACTCTCTGAGTGGTTTACAATGTCAGCATATTGCCCCCAACAACCTGGGTCCTCATTTTACCAACCTCGGAAGGATGGAAGGCTGAGTCAACCTTGAGCTGGGCAGAATTAGCCTGCAACACTACATTTTAACCATTGTACCACCATGACTTACATTAATTAATTATATTAAACTAAATCACACTGATCCTATAAAGGTGACTATTCATATTTTTCCTTAGTAACTGTAATTGGGGTTATGAAACCAGACTTTCATTTGAATCTAACTAGTACTTGCTGTCACAGGCAAGAGTCAGTATTAATACAAAAATATGTGATTTTTTTTTTAAAGTGAAATAATACCATGTAATCACAAATTCAAGTGGTCTGATATGTATTTGGGTAGATAGCATAACATAACATAAAGACCGTGTCTTTTTTTTTAAATGGTGCTCTTTGCTTTAAATAAGAATGTATTGTTACATAGCTCAGAGGAAAGACCTCTAAGAACTGGATAGATAGGGAAGAAGCATTGTCTTGAACAGAATTACATGGCTAGGTAGAGTTTTTCTTCACAGAAGCATTCCTCCAAAAAATTAGGGTTGATGTCGATGATGATGTGGTGTGCATTCTGACAGATAAATTTCAATTATTTGCTTGACTGAAATGAACATTTTAATGAGTCTCACTGTCATGTCACTTTTTGTCCCGAATATCATAAAAAAATATAAAAATTCCTTTTCAGGTTTTTAGCCTACCTAAAAGATAAGAGTATTTGTTAAGATGTGGTAGCTGTATATATAATTCATATATCTAAATCTGTCATATGATCAGCATTGACTGCTTTGATCAGTTTATTATTAAAAACTAAAAAAATCTCTGAAAAGTAAATGTAGATGTAAAAGCTACAATTGATATTCAAATGAGCGAATATTTTGAAAAAGATTAAAAGTAGAAAATGTATGTAGTACCACTGTGCTAAGGGACTGTGCTTGGAACTAACATGGGTGAAAATAGATTTATATCAAGGTAAAGGTACATAATCCCCAGCTGCACAATTTTCCTCTTCTGTTATCTTTAGAGTATTGCTCCATTTATTTCATGAACACAGAAGTTTTAATTGGGCATGACAAGTTCCAAAGACAAAAGAAAGGGCTAATTCAGTCTAACAAACTTGTTAGTCACTGTTTATGCCAAGATGATTGCTAACCTACAGAGAGTAGCATGTTTTTCTTCCACTTCTGCTTTGTTTGTAAATTGAAGATCATACCTGACCTACTCTGTCTACTTATAGTGCTGAATGGGATGGTTAAAGGAAATGTTTCCCGCATATTCATAGGTATATTTTATAAGGAATGTTATTTCCTAATATTTACAACTTCTAAGCAATTTTGATGTAATTATTTTCCTTTATATAACCTACTTACCATTTCGCCATTCTTAGCTGTTGAGCATTTTATGAAAGTCAGCAGAATATGTGGACTGACTTCATTGAAAACATTGGGGCAAGTTTTTGGCAGACTGCAGATTTAAGGGGGGCAGTAATTAAGAAATGAAACAGAGGGCAAGGTATTTGTGGGTGAATGACTTTTCACTTGTTCCTGACAATTTCCAGGAGATAGGTAATTGGAATGATTTATGAAAAGCGTTAGAACGTATATCAGAAATAATTTTCCTACACCAGCTAAGTGTTCCAGCAATTATCATTTGGTAGAATTTATATTTCAGATTATATTCTTTTTTGTACATAATGGCTAATCCATTATACAAGTCATTTTTGAGATGCCAAGTTTGGAGCTAGTCTGGGGAAGAAATAGGATGTGATATTGCTAAGTGCTCAAAGCAATGTATAAATTATTGGTCACCACTTGATTTTTTTTTTATATGTAATGTATAAATTATACATGTATAAATTATTGGTCACCACTTAATTCTTTTAAATCTCTAACATTTCTGTGGAATGTCATATGTGATTTATTTTGTACAGTGTACATTTCATCTTAACAAAAACAAGAAGTTAAAGTTTTGCCCACTATAAGTCCCTAAAGTTTTCTTTGCTCTGTTTACCAAGCACTCTGTTCCTCCTAAAAGGGATAAAAATCAGAGAACAAAACTGACAATGTAGATATAAAGATAGTAAGTTTGTTTTCTGTAGCACAGAGGCATAATCTAAAAAAGTGTGAAGATGCAAACAGAAGTATAGCATCCTCAACCTATAGATCTAATGTGCCTTTGAAAAGCTGGAGAAAAATCATGATGATGCTACCAGAACATAGCATAAGATTTTTTTTTTAAAAAAAGTCTCTGATTTGAAACTGACAAAATGGCTTGACAAGAAAATAGACCACAATATTCTTAGTCAATGAACTCATTTCTTTAAAATGCTTTAGTATTGCTTTACTGGAATATTTACTGGAATCACAATGTATTATTTATTCTTCCTTCAAGAACTGCTCTATAAACTTGGTGAAGAAGACGAGGTCAACCACAGTACTCCAAAGAAGAATGTGAAAGAAATATCAGCACTGACATTACAGAAGGTATCCTAATCTGTAAGATATTGAGCTCCACATGTTAAATCTCAATTTCAGTGTAAGGGATCATATATTAAAAGACAACATTGATGAATATGAGCCATGTGTTATTTTTTTTAATTACCACTCATAACTCAAAATAACTCTTGTCAAAATTGTGTCAGAAATCAATGCTCTATAGTTGGCTCCATTCAAGCTAATGGTTTGTGCAGAAAAACAAATGTGCACTTTCTCAGTCGGATTATTCTTACTCTTATTCTAAATATACAGTTTTATGAATATAAAGTGTGTCTTACTTTAAAGATGGAAATCATTGCATAGGTTTGTATTTATTTTGCACTGTATTAACAAATAATTAGGATCAGATCTTGAAAATCTGAGTGTCCAGGAAAAAAAGAGGAAAGAAAAAGATATGTCATTCCCTTCCCTTTTATTAGATTTTCACATCACTATAAGAGGTACAGTGCGTTTTAACCTATATTTTATTTCCTTTACAAATAATCCTGAAAAAAAAATTCTGCATATCATCCCTACTTCTTGAATGATTTAATGTAGGTTTTTTAAAAAATATGCCAGAATAGAATAGAGACGATCTTACATGGTAAAATAATAAGAACAACAACATCCCAGATTTGATGAGAAAGACAAAAAAGTCTTGAGAGTGAACACTATCAGCATGAACAAAATCACTGTCATTCAATTGGTAGCTTTCCTCGGAACAACTTACATCCTGTGATGAAACCTCTAACACCATCAAACAACAACATCTGCCTTTCCTAGGTCCTTGGGAGATCTCGATAGGTAAATAAAAAATGCCAAATCCAGTTTAAATATCTGGCTGACTATGCAACCAACCACAATAACACACATACATACACATACACACATATACACTTTTATGCACATACACAGATATATACACACACGCACAAACATACACACATACACACACAGATACATAGATCAAGTCAAGGCAGTAAACCTAGTATTCTTGCCTCCTATTTGTTCTGTCACTTAGGAAGTGGCTGGCTTAAAGTCACTCATCCAGCTAATGAGTTTAGCTGTGTCCATTTATTTTTATATTTGTAAAATAGCTTGTAAGTAAAGTAGTTTTTAGCAGATCAGGGGATTGTATATATTGCCATATTTCTAGGTAATGAAGGTTCTCATCTCATTATTACTAAATGACAAACATATTAAAGTAATAACTGAGAACAAGAAATGCTCACATTCATTTATCTTAAGATAGAGTGAGTAATGGAAAACAAATTGAGTGATAGAGGATGTCGTATCTATCACCCATGGGATAGAAGGAGTTTATGATATATAATTTTAATGACATAACTGTCAAGAATGGTTTGGCCTAATACAGGAACCTCTGATGATGTCTTTCCCAAACTATTGGATTATAGTAGGAAGTAATAGC